AATTACATCCTTTTTCTAAAAAATCAATTGCTTTTTGATATTCATTAGAACCATTATGATTATTATTTTCATTATTACCTTTCATATACACCTATCCCTATATATATAATTTTATAATTTTATGTTCACTTTGTAAGTTTTTTTATAATTGGTTTAAAATTGAAGTATATGAATGGAATTAATCTTAGATGAATCAGTGGAATAGGTTTAAGGATACGGTCTCACACGTGACCATTAATTAGTAAATCTGATTCCAAAATTTTTGTCATACCGGTAACAAAATAAGTTTCCGAAACACAATTTTAGCCAATAAAATTTCTTTATTTATAATAACAATCAAAATGTACGTTGCAAATATAAAAATTAAATTTTTTTCAAAATGAAAGTTTGGTGGTTGCTAGATGAAACTTCCATAAATCTGATTTACAGACAGAATCACTAAAGCTATCTCTTTATATAAGTAATTTCAATCATTAATGGAAAAATAATTTTTTAATATTTTAATTTTTTTGATCCTTTGATATGGATAATCAATCTAATTTTTCTTTATCTCACCATGTATCCAACCAATTGGGGTGCAATAACTTGGATTAGCACTTATTTGAACTCTAGATTATGTAAAAATGAAAACGCCATATGAGTATTTAATGCCTTTAAAAAATTTTTAATAATATTAAATTATTAAACATCTTTACATTATTATATTTCAGTATGTATCCAATGAATTAAATGAAATAATTTGTATTAGTACTTATTTGAATTCTAGATTATGTAAAAATGAAAATATTTTAATAGATTTTTCAAAAATATAAGGCTTCACCTACTATATATCTTTGTAGCTTACTGAATAATAAATTCTTTATCTAATATACCTCAAATATTATTAATAACTATAAATATTTTATTTACATGCAATATTAATCTACTTGGCAATTCCTTTCTTCAAATTCTATTCTATTCAAGTAAAAATTGAAAGTATTAAATGTGTTGAATTAATAAAATTCTATTTCACCTATTAACAAGATAAAATACTTTGAAATCATTTTACTTGTTTAGTTTTTTTTCTTAAATGATCAGACTTTTATAAGTGATGAGAGACTTTTATTAAGTGATGAGAAACTATTTTTGAGTTTTTCTACAAAACCTATATAATAATATAATTTGAAATTTTTATGGAAATTTAACGTGACTATGATTGACAAATAGATGCGTTTTGAGCAAATTTGAGTAAATTCTTAAAAAGTTTTACATATAGATACATGAAAACAAATTGATCGACATTTTTTTGGAACCGGATTTACTAATTAATGGTCACGTGTGAGACCGTATCCTTAAGTAAATGATTTAAAAAATATGGTTATTCAATAATTTACAAAGAGAAATTGAAAATTTTGGTCAATTGGCCCCATGAAAAATAATTATGTGCAAAAATTTCATGTTTCTGATTTTTTTATTAATAATAATATTAATAAAGATTTACACTTATCAAAAAAGATTTTACAATATTAAAAATCATTATTATAAAAAATGGATGCCATTTAAATTGACTACCACCTGTGTGATTGATTCAATCATTAACACTAAGAAACAAACAATTTCAGAACCATTGAAATTAATGCCATTACAAAGGTGAAATAAAATAATAATTTTTTAAATATAATTAATTATATAAATAAAAATAAACATGACTTAGCTATTTAATCATTTCCTTGTATGTGAATGCCTCCATCCATCAAATATTCATGATGGCCATGATTATTCAATACATTTGATATAATCATTGGAATAACAAACAATTGCATCACCCAAGTAGTAATAACACCAAGGCCATGCATAAATGAAACTTTTAATAATGTGTCTACCCAGATCTTTGGAGTTCACAAGAATAAATTATTTTTCCTGATTATCAATTATGAATAATAAATCTGATGTTGATCACAGGTGTGAGATTTAATAAAACTTTCCTGTCACAAATATGCAAGCGCCATGTAATTAAACATCAGTCAACACTGTAGAATTTTTTCCACAGAAGAAAGGACTTGAACAAGTTGGAAGGCTTTGGACAAAACTTTTCATATCTTCTCCCACAGACCAGGCTTGACTGTTTCCATACAGGCATTGATAACTGACAAGGATCAGTATTTGTGTGTTATACCTCTCTAGAATAAAGTTGATGTCTGCAATTGGTATGAAATTCAGCAACTCAGGAGTTTGCAACTTGGGAAGTTGCTGTTTTAGATTTCCCTGAATTCCGAGTTTTGAGTCCTGGCTTGCTGTCTTGTTGGTGGCACATCTACTCATCAACAACACTACCCCCATTTAAACAACAAATTCAGTTGTCAAACAAAAATTTAGAGAAACAAAAAATATGGGAATGATTAATTTATACATAACATAACAAACAAAACCTGAACCATTTTATAACTTTTTTCTTGTTGACCATATTGCTGACAAAGATATATATAATCATGCGATAATTTTAATCTATTGGACCGGGGACTGATTGGGCAAAACCCCTACCCAAAATTATAAATTGGTTAGTATCAAAGAAACAGAATTTAGGAAAATAATTATACAAAACAAACACTATTTTACAATTTTCCTCCTAACATCAGAGCCCAAATGCAATTTCAGGGTCACCATAACCTCCTATACTTGAAACGAGCTGCAGGTTCTCTTAATATTTCTCCAGAGTTGCAACTTCTTGGACACAGATCCATCCTTACCCTAGAGGTAGGATTGTTGCAGGCAACTTTTCAGCAAACATACCAGCTTTTCCTAGTCAGGTACTGTGAGGAAGATTAGTGAAAAGTGTGATGCAGTCTCGATAAACTCCAGGGCCATGCGGCCCCTCCCCGGAATTTAGTTGCATCGTTATATCATCGGGGGATGCGGGTCAGATTAGCCTTGTGCACACGAGGAACGTGAGAATGACTGTAAAGTGTTCAAGGTAGCATGTATGCCTTGACGTTTGTGAAGTGTACAATTATGAAAGTGTCGCATATAGAATCGTTTCCCTTCTTCCCCCATCTTTTTTAACAGTTGTATCGCCTTGACATCTTGTAATTGTAATATTAATATTATTAGTGTTGATTACGAAAAGCAAAAACATTTATCATGATAAATACAAGATCTGCTTCCACAATTTGATTTCAACATTTTATTAAGTAAAGATGTAAAAACAATTAAACAATAAAAAAAAATCAATACAATGCAACAAAAAAAATAGTGTACCTCTCGCCATTAATAAACAACACCTTGTCTCCTTTAGAGCAAGCCATACTGAACAACAATGTTCGCGCTTTCTTTCTCGTCTTGTAAAAGATAAATTGTTTTTCCAAAAAAAAAAAAAAAAAAAAATTTCAATCGCGTCAACAAAAAAAACCAATAGATGCTTCTTTGTACAACCATACACGCATGTAATAATCGTAAATAATCGCGTATGTCGATCAAATAAATTTATTTTCTTTAAAAAAAAATGAAAAGAATTCAGAAGAAAATAAAGCAACAAGGTGAACGAGAAAATTCTCAGTTTGGGTAAGTGTTTATCATAAGAATGGTAATGGTGGTTATCGCCACCACTTATTGTCACTCTAGTTTAACATTAAGTTTGGATGGAAAGTCTGTGTTCAACTATTATATTCTCTGTAATTAATATTGTTTTTTAATTTCATTTTTGTTTAACACCAAAAGAAAAGATAATGAAGATGTTGATATGGAAGGTGTTGTTAGTAGCAGCAACAATAATGGCAGTTGTGGCATTATGAATAAAAATAATTCAAATATAGAGAATGAATTAAATT